TCGATGGCACTAAAAATTTCAGGACCAGTAAGGTAAAGCCGAAAGCCGCTTGCAATCAAACCGCTCTCGACAAAAAATATCTAAAATCTGCCTTGTGATGCATAAATGAGCGGTGACTTTCTAAATTTTCACAGCCTCCAGAAATGAAAATGTTTCATCTCGTGACGCGAGCGAAAAGTCGATGGCAGCTGAATTGCACAGTGTCGCAAATGGCAGGAAAACGAATTCGCTTCGACAGCTTTTCTGAGACAATGGTGAAACCGCATCAACTGATGCTGAGGAACTGATTCGAACTGTATGAAAGCCTGGAAGCTTGTTAATACACTGCAAGTGATTCGACGTTTCAACGACACGTGTGATGCCGATCAGACGCCGCATTAAGAAGAATGGACACCTTAGCACATTTACACAGCTGGCACAGACAAGCTAGATTTTATGGCCCTTAAGCCCTTAAGCTCACTTTCTGAAATCGTTTCCGGACTATACAACCGCTGTCTAGTACAACAAGCGGATTCATGACAGACGGTGCGAATAACTGTCTCGGAATCTCTTAAGCCGCCTAAAGCAGATGCCTGAAGATCAATTACAGTGCCTGTAATTAAATGGATTGAATTAAATTAGATGTTTGGAAAGAATCGTATCACTGTCGATTTATTCAAGGGTAAATGTGGATCTCAGGCAATTCGAAGACGTCTGCGGGAATGCAGTAGTCTGGTTGCATTGAATGTACTTGTCAATACCAATGCCGTCAAATCCACTATTCCTTAACCTTAACTATTACAGGATTTTAGTTTAGGACTGTAGGAACATCAACTTCAAGAGATATACTAAAAGTCCCCAATCCCTTGCCGGTCGGATAAGTGTTACAAACTGAACTTTAAAATGCGGAAATTTTACATGCTCAAAGTAATCAAACCATTTAATTTCCAGTTTATGCATCTGTTACAAGATATTCGTTTAATTTCTGCGGAGGCAGTACGGATATTAAGTATATCCGTTCAATTCTTGCAATTTATGATAGAGAACTTCAACATTGTAAAAACTGTTTTGTTTAGAATTACTCAACCTTCGTCAAACAGGAGCATTCGAAACTTAACCGCATTGCTAGCGCCTACCTGAACCTCACCAAAGCGGTAGTACGACAATTTGTACATCAAACAGTTGAGCAAAGTTTTAGAGCCTCCACTGTCGACTCTGAAATCTCCATCAACGGTAAAGTAGTCGCTTTCCTAGAACAGTTCGATATAATATCACATTCTGAGAGACAAATTTTTTATATACGTGAATATCTTTGGGATGCTCTCCTTGAGCGATGCGAACCATCCACAAGAATTTGTTGATGTCGTCTCCGGAATATCCTATCAGACCGCCAAAAATGACCAAAACGTAGTCGACATCGAGATCTTGCATGATCTCGTATGCCTTTTCCTCGGTACTGGACATTGCTTTGCCGACCTGCAATGTCCATTATTCACGGGTAATGAAGAAACAGAACAAAAGGCAAAAATTCCCCTACCAAAGCGATGTGACTATTGTTCCACGTGTTATTATCAACCAGCGTAGTGCGGTTGCCCATTCCAGCGATCTGATATCCATAATCCCACCATGACATGATGCGAGCTTTGTCTGGAGTATTCTGACGCAGCCAATAATACGCCTCGCGGAAGTCGTCCAAAATGATACGGCTGCTAAAAGTTAACAAACAACCCGGTACTATAGCAGGACAACAAAATTTATAGAAAACGCACCCGTCACTGTGGTAGGAAGCAAGGACGACGCTGGGACTACTGTATGCGTTACTCGTCACCCATGTACAGTGAATTGCGAACATTAGCAACAGCATCACCAAAACGATAGAGACGATCGACTTTACGTTGATGCCCAGATCCTGCTCTTCGGTGGCGGCCGCTGCAGCAGCCGCCGCTTGCTCTTTCGCTTCAGCACTTTCGATTTTTGGAGGCTTCCGCAGTTTTCCGGCCTGAAAAGTTTTTACTGTACTGTGAACAATCGTCGAACCTCCGCTTCGAAGATAGACGACAGGAAGAAATAATTCTGCCAAACTCATTTCATCATCGTTAGAACACCTAGCGGACAGTGAGTCGTATCAAAATCTTCACAGTAAACAGCACACAGTGGAAGCAGTCAGCAATTTCGTTTACCTGGATAGGAGATAATTCTCCTATGGATCATGCAAATCAAAAGGATTAACTCGATCATGGGTTCACTGGCACACGTTGTCACTGATCAACAGTCACAACATAAAATGAAAACCAAACTCTGTTGATTTTCAATAACTGTCGATGTTATGGATGTAAAACCTAGACTCTGTTGAAGAATGACTTTAGAATCGTTCAGCCGCTTTATACGCAATGCAAGAAGATATGCTGAACAGCAAATGAACAGGCCACATTATGTACACCGAAAAGAACAGAAGAACAGGCCTATT